AAGGTTAAGTTCTTAAAAAAAACCAACAACAACATAACAATATAATTTGGCCAATATCCCTCCCTAGCACCTCCCCACTCCCTGCTTTCATCTCAAACTCCTTGTCCCCTTCCTCTGTTCTACTGCTGTCCCTTTGTTTTTCATACAGTCACCTCTTTTTCCTCTGTAGTTTCCACATATGAGAGAAAACGTACTACTCTTGACCTCCTGGGTTTGGCTTATTTTGCTTTACATAATGGTCTCAATTCCATCTGTTTTCCTGCAAATGACATGATTTCATCATTCTTCTTTATGTCTGAGTAAAGCTTCATTATGTATACATACCACATTTTCTTTATCCATTCACCTGTTGATGGACACCTAGGCTGGTTCCATAGTTTGGCTATTAACCTGGGTATGCATTTGTCACTGTAGTATGATGACTTTGTTTAGAATAATATTGAGGAATGGTATAGCTGGGTCACAGTGGTTCCATGCCTAATCTTTTGGGGACCCTCCATACTGGTGTCCATATTGGTTGTAAGAACAGCTGCTTTCTTTATGTCAGTGATAGTAAGTGATTCCTGTAAGGGACTGAAGGCTGAGGAACAGAACAAGAACCTTGATTCCTTTTGTTTGAATTATGTTCAACGCCAAGTAAAGGAAAACCTAATTCTACTGGTTTCGACACAGTAGACATTTGTCTCTCAGAACAAGGAGTCTTGGGGGAATGGGCAGTAGAAGATGCTGTAGTGGTCATTGATATCCTGGGGACCTAGGTTCCTTCTTACTTTCTATTCTACCTTTTTAAAGCATGTGGCATTTATTCTCATGTTTGCATAATGGCTGCTGTGCCTCTGGACATCGCATCCAAGGTCTAGGAGGAAGAAAGATGAGCGAAAGAAAAAATTTTTTTTTTTATTTAGGAAGTATTCTTTCTGGGAACTTTTGCCTGTATTTTATTGCAAAGGAGGCTGGGAAATGAAGTATTTTTAGCTAGGCACATTTGTCCCCAAACAAAATTAGGGTTCTGTTAGGAAGGAAGAAGTGTGGTACTGGGTTGCAGGTAGGTGACTAGCCCTCATTGCCACGCAGCCAACAGTGAAAAATAGATGAAAACTGGGGGAAGACGGAGAAAAAGAAGAGAGTTGGAGAGAAGCAGCAGAGACAGTGGCATGGGGATGGGGCAAGGGCAGGTTTTAGCCTGCTGTTCCTTGGCTGTCCTTTCCAAGGGGCAAGCAAGGCCTTGCTGCCGCCACCTTACCTTTTTAGTGCTTCTCTTCCAGGGAGACCACTGTAATTTCAGCCACGACATTGAACTGCCAAAGAAGCGAGAACTGTGCAAGTTCTACATCACTGGATTCTGCGCCAGAGCCGAGAACTGCCCCTACATGCACGATATCCTTTGCCATCTGCGTCTGTTGCGTAGAGCAGCCGTGGCGCCCTTCATTATGCTTGGCCTTGTGCTGAGAGCTTTTTGGGGTCTTCATCTCACCTAACCCCACTTCTGCCCACGCCGGGTCAGCCAGGACACACGTGCCGTGTCCTCTCTCACATAAACTCGCAAGACCGGCCTGTGCCCGGTGCGTCTTTCTGAAAATTTTCCAACTGGCTTTGTAAACTTGAGCAAGTCATTTTACTTCCCACTCCCATTGAAGATCTAAGGACACAACCCCAAGGCCACCTTGGAGGGGCAGAAATTGCTCTGCAACAGGAGTCTGTAGAACCATGTCTTGTTTTGAGTAGCTGCCAACCACTGTGCAACCCTGAGCAAGTCACTTGACCTCTCTGGGTTTCTGTTTACTCATCTCCAAAACAAAGGGCATGGATTCTGTCTTTGGGTGGGTTTCATGAGTTGAAGTATTTGCCTTAATTTGTCATGAACGTGATTTTCCATGTAAGTTATACCACACCACTGGGAACTGCATCAATGGTGATGACTGCATGTTCTCCCATGACCCCCTCACTGAAGAGACGAGAGAGCTCCTGGATAAGGTAATGTCTGGGGGCCCAAAGCTAACAGGAACCAGGAAGCACCCCTTCCATTGCCTTGGTGCTGCAGCTTGCCCATCTGGCCTATGCAGGTCCAGAATTCCCAGTTGCATTGATGAGCTGCTGGGTCATTTTCAGAAGGCAACAGCGACTGCTTTCCTTTCTGCAGGGGAGTTGGCGTGGCCGTGTGTGGATATCTTGTTTCTGGCCACAGCAGGCTGTTGCTATATTCACTAGGGATAGCTGTGTAAAAGGAGTACCGCTTGGTGTATCTCCAGATACGGGTTGTGATCTCAGGATCACCTAGAGAGCAAGCCTACGATGTGCAGTAGCGCACGCCTTGGGTTCCAGCAACGGGAGAGACTCAGGCAGGAGAATCACAAGTTTGAGGCAGCGAAGTAAGGCCCTCAACAACTTAGATCCTGATGCAAAATGAAAAGAAAATTGAAAGGACTAGAGATGTGGCTCAGTGGTAAAGCACCTCTGCTTCAATCTCCGGTACTGGCAAGAAAAAAAGGAAAACAGCCCACGACACAAAGGAGGCAGTGGAAATGTCAGTGTTTGCTTGCAGCTTGTAGGGACCCTCATGCAGAGAGGGAGGGGGCAATGGGAGGTCTCTGGAGGAGGAAACTCCTCAGTCAGATGCCAGGATCCACAAGCCAAGTGACATCTGAAGCTGCTGGTGTCTGTAGTTTTCTGCCCGAGGAGTCAGTACTAGGGCCTGGGGTACTATGAACTCTTCTCTGACACACAGCATGTCCAGAGGGTGGAAGGAGATGGACCAGGATCCCTCGTCGCCTCCTAGTACACAACAGTCTTAGGAGATTGGCTGTTTTTGAAAAAGGGAAGGACTTAGACCATCAGTCCATGAGCCAGCTCAGGGAGCCCCTCCTTCTGCAGCTGCCTGACAAGCGGGCAGGTGCTTGGAGGCACTCATGCTGGTGGTCCTGTGTCCTGGGAACGCACGCACACACTCCTACATTTGCCTTCAGAGAGCCCCTTACCCTCGGGTTATGTGACAAATAATTACCTTAAGTCCAGTCATTTCACCACAGGAGGAGTGGGACCAGAAATGGTGGCGCCATTTCCCCTTTGAAAGGCTAAATGATGCCTGACTGAAGACTGCCCCCTGCAGGAGGCTCCAAGTTTGTACTCCAGCAGAAACAACCAAGCAGTATCTTGTTTTATTTTTTTTCTAGTAGTACATTTTTATTTGTAATTTTTATCCCCCAACGTTCCCCCCCGCCATACACAAAAGCCAGGCACCATGGCACAGGCCTGTAGTCCCAGCACTTCAAGAGGCTGAGGCAGGAGGATTGCAAGTTCAAGGCTAGCCTCAGCAACTTAGCAAGATTCTGTTTGAAAATAAAAAGGGCTGGGTTGTGGCTCACAAGTGGAGCACGCCTGGGTTCAAGCCCAATTCCAAAATAAAGAAAAAAATAAGCAAATGAGATTCATTTTAATAATATATCTTATTTAACCCCAGTACTGTTTGGCAAGTAACAGATTATAAGGAGAAAGTTGAGACTTTTGTTTTCTACTTACAGTCCTCTTGATTTGGAACAGCCCTGTTTCCTGCACTTGTTGGTCACGTATGGCCAGTGGTCACCGTATTGGACAGCTCTATGCTAGACACTCTAGTCAGAAACCAAAGGGGCATGTTTTAGCTTTTCTGTCCACAAACCTTCTAAAGCATCAGTATCAGTCCCTATTTCAAGTCAAGTATGTAGATTAAAAATGAGTGGCAACCCAGGAAAAACAATACTAGAGATGAGGTGGGATGGTTAAAAAGTAAAATGTAAATTGGGTGCAGTGGCACAGGCCTATAATCCCAGGGACTCAGGAGGCTGAGGTAGGAGGATCATGCAAGTTCAAAGCTGGCCTCAGCAACTTAATAAGTCCCTAAGCGACTTAGACTCTGTCTCAAAAAATACAAAGGGCTGCGAACTTAACTTAGTGGTAAAGCACCCCTTGGTTCATTCCCTCGTACCAAAAAGAGAAAAATGTGCACAGGCCAGAGCAATGCCAGAGTAAGATTGCAAGTTTGAGGCCAACCTGGGCAACTTAGATCCAGTCACCAAATAAAATGTAAAAAGGGCTGGGTTGTAGCTCAGTGACAGAGCTCTTCCGCAGCATGTTGGAGGCCTTGGATTCCAGCCCCATTCTGGGGGCAGGGGGCCTGTATAATAATTTTCAGAATTAGAGAAACAATCCATGTGAAGCCTGTGCAGACTCCGTGGACTGTGGGGACGGTAGCCGTTCTGCGCTCTCCTTCTCACTCCTGTGGAGGCATGTTGAGGTCTCTTGCTATTGGTGCTAACTCCCTCTCCGTTGTGTGGATGGCTAAGTGGGTCCCATCAATAGCTGAAGGATGGTTTTATTTCCAGTTTGAGGAAGAAGCTTAGAGTTTTGGACAGACTGCCTTTAGCTCATTTACTTGGCCCAGTGAACTTGGTCCACATATCTTTTTTGTGGGGGTGGTGGTACTGGGGATTGAACTCAGGGGAATTCGACCACTGAGCCATATCCCCAGCCCTATTTTGTATTTTATTTAGCGTCAGGATCTCACTGAGTTGCTTGGCACCTCACTTTTGCTGAGGCTGGCTTTGAACTGGCAATCTTCTGCCTCAGCCTCCCAAGCCACTGGAATTACAGGTGTGCGCAACAGCACCCGACTTGGTCCATATATCTTTGCATTGTACAGATATGACTCCCATTTTTGTGCTGAAAAGGTGACTTTGACTTTTGGAATCCCTTTGGTTCGCTGAACATCAGTCTTGGTGTGAAAGGCTTTTCTGAGAGCAGGGTGTTTGGTGGTTGTGTCTGCTGAGGTGTGCCTGTGAGCACTGGTCCTGCTACTGGGAGTGTTCAGGGTTAGATGTACCTCAGCTCAGTGTCTGTGCTAGAAGGACTAATGGTTAGTTTGGGTCTGACCCTTCTGGTTGTGTTCTCTTGCGTCTTTTATAGTCTGTGTCTAGGCTTAAATGCAGAGCCTGTCTGTATCTTTTTATTTTTATCTGGTGGTGAGGATTGAACCCAGTGCCTTACACGTGCTAGGCCAGCACTCCACCACTGAGCCACAGCCACAGCCCCTTACGTCTGTATCTTGAGCTGGCCTCTTTTCCCGATGTTAGGGGCCTGTGCGAGGTGAGGGAGGCCTTGTCTGGGGCTGAGTCCTGGAAGGCTCAATGTCAACAGCCTAGAGAGGAGGCAGAGGCCCTGAGTACTGGGCCCAGTCGAGACTCCTCTGTGTAGAGTGCAGCTGGGTCCCAAGGAGCAGGAGGCCTTTCTCTCTGGACACTGGGGACCCTCTCACAGAGGAAGTTGTTAGAGCCTCTGTCCGATTAGCCATCCAGGAGTGACACAGGTGCCTGCTGCATGTGAGCATTGTGCTCACCCTTCCCAGAGGCTCTTGTCCCTGGAGCTGGCAACTTGTGGAGAAGGGGATGTCGCCCTGTTTTCACGCCTGCTCAGTGGTACAGAGATTGGCAGCATGTTCTGCAGATTCAGAAGAGCGAGCCTATTTTGTGGGTGTTGGGAGGCCTCTGGGAGAGCTGATGTCTGAAGAAACCTGGAAATGAGAGCAGGTGCCAGGTGTTGCCAGAGAAAATGGTGTTAACCAAGAGGGGATGAGCCGAGTGTGGTGGTGCACGGCTGTAATCCTGGTGGCTTGGGAGGCTGAAGGAGGATTTTCACAAGTTCAAAGCCAGCCTCAGCAACTTAGGGAGGCCCTAAGAAAGTTAGTGAGATCCTGTCTTAAAATAAAAAAAATAAAGGGGCCGAGGTTGTGGCTCAGTGGCGAACACTTGCCTAACGCGTGTGAGGCGCTGGGTTCGTCCCTCAGCATCACATAAAAATAAATGAATAAGAGAATAATGTCCATCTACAGCTAAAAGGAATACTTTAAGAAATCGGGGCTGGGGATGTGGCTCAAGCGGTAGCGCACTTGCCTGGTATGTGTGCGGCCCGGGTTCGATCCCCAGCACCACATACAAACAAAGATGTTGTGTCCGCCGAAAACTAAGAAAATAAATATTAAAATTAAAAAAAAAAAAAAAAAAGAAAGAAAGAAATAAAAAACAGGCTGGGGCTGGGGCTCAGTGGTTTGGCACCCCTGGGTTCAATCCTTAGTACAAAAAGAAGAGCCGAAGAGGGAACAAGGCATCATGGTGGGAGCCAGGGAGGCAGACCAGACGGGGAAGGCCTGGGGGGGGCGGGGAGCGGAAGCAGAGGTCAGGTTTGTTCCTGTTTAATGAGGTAAAACCTTTACTTTTATCTTTTTCCTGAAGGCATTGTGCCCATGTTAGTAGCCCTGAAGTTTGTTCTGCCGGTACACAGAGGATGGTATAGGGTTGGTGGGTGGTGTTTTGAGGGTGTTCAGGCTACCATGTTTATTCTTCTGCACATAGTTGTTGAGATATTCTGGCCCAGTCCATATGTCCACAAATTTTTTTTATTTTTTTATTTTTTGGTTCTAGGGATTGAACTCAGGGGCAACTCGACCACTGAGCCCCATCCCCAGCCCTTTTTATATTTTATTTAGAGACAGGGTCTTGCTGAGTTACTTAGCGCCTTGCTAAATTGCTGAGACTGGCTTGAAACTCTCGATCCTCTTGCCTCAGTCTCCTAAGCCCCTGGGATTACAGGCGATCGCCACCACGCCTGGCCAGATGTCCACATGTTTTGACACCTCACCTGCATCTCTCCTATATCAGGGCCAGTGGCATGCGCGGGTGGTGCAGCAGGGCAGGAGACGGTCTTGCCTTCATGGGGTTGGCAGGATGGGCACACCAGGAGTCAGCACAGGAATAGCTTGGCACCAGACCTTGTCGGGAGTGCACTGAGGGAACTCATGGTGCTGCAGTAGTAAACAGAGGAGCCCCGGGTGTTGAGGGTTAATAAGGCTCCCCCAGGGCTGGGTGGATACCTCTTCCTACTATGTATGAGGCCCTGGATTCAGTCCCAGCACTGCAAAAAATAAAGAAGAAGAAAGAGAGAAAGAAAGAACGCACTGATGTATGGTATCCATCCATCATAAGAATTAGGGCCTCAGCAGATTAGCAAGGCCCTGACAACTTAGTGCGACCTTGTCTCTAAACAAAAAATAAAAGGGGCTATGCCTCAGTGGTAGAGTGTCCCTGGGTTGAAAAAAAAGGAACCATAGTCACGGAACCCATGCTCTGCTTTAGATTTTCCTTTCAAAATTGAGCTCTCAAGGTGGGGAGGTCTGATCCGCCTGACTGCCCGAGCCTTCTCTGACCTTTACTCCCTGGTTCCCTCTCACCTACAGATGCTGGCTGACGACGCAGAAGCTGGTGCCGAGGATGAGAAAGAAGTGGAGGAGCTGAAGAAGCAGGGCATCAACCCGCTGCCTAAACCGCCCCCTGGGGTGGGCCTCCTGCCCACCCCGCCCCGGCCCCCTGGTCCCCAGGCCCCAACCTCTCCCAATGGCAGGCCCATGCAGGGTGGACCCCCTCCCCCTCCCCCACCTCCTCCACCCCCTCCCGGGCCCCCTCAGATGCCCATGCCAGTGCACGAGCCGCTGTCCCCGCAGCAGCTGCAGCAGCAGCAGGACATGTACAACAAGAAGATCCCTTCCTTATTTGAGATTGTGGTGCGGCCCACAGGACAGCTAGCTGAGAAGCTGGGCGTGAGGTGAGTGCCCGCCCACATCAGCCCACAGGAACCGGGTGCATGGGCAGGGTCTTGCCCTGGAACCTGTTGGGGTCCCCTGAGCCCTCCACATCTTTTGGGGGTAGGGTGCCACCTCCTTTCCTCAGCAGCTGCTTTCATAGTAACTGTTTTCTCTCCTAGGTTTCCTGGACCTGGAGGACCCCCAGGGCCAATGGGTCCTGGTCCCAACATGGGGCCCTCAGGGCCAATGGGGGGCCCCATGCATCCTGACATGCACCCCGACATGCACCCGGACATGCACCCCGACATGCACCCGGACATGCACCCGGATATGCCGATGGGCCCTGGCATGAACCCTGGCCCACCCATGGGTCCTGGAGGTCCCCCGATGATGCCATATGGTCCTGGAGACTCCCCTCATTCTGGAATGATGCCCCCCATCCCACCAGCCCAGAACTTCTATGAAAACTTCTACCAACAGCAGGAAGGCATGGAGATGGAGCCCGGGCTGCTCGGAGACACAGGTGCGCACACTCCTGCAGGGATCCCTGGGGTGCTGGGCTGGCTGAATGGAGTCGGAAGGTGTGACTTTTTTCTTCCTTGGTCTGCATCTTTTTGAAATCAGGACTCCAACTCTTACCTCTGTTCCATCGATGGTTGAATATTTTCAGTGACAAGGGACTTATTATCTTATTGAGACCAAAAGGAATATTATGTTTATTATCAATGTGTCAGAAATAAGTCAGGTACCCTGGTTGGAGCTCCTCTCTCCAGGTAGTTCTGGGCTTGGAGCTGTCAGTGTCGACCCTGTGACTCCGTTTGTCCTGTCTCCATGACTGGCCATTTTCCTTCCTTCTGTCTTCTCTTTGTGTTGGTAACAACCCCAGTGTCTGACAGCCAGTCAGGACAAGATGATGTACTCTGCTGGCCGGGAGATGTGTGCTCAGCCCCCAGAAAAGGGAAGGAGATTGGCTCCTGGCCTCAGGGCCCCGAGCGGGTAGCTGCAGTCTTTGCCTAGCGCATTTCTCTGGAGGGAAGGAGATAGCTTATAAATAAGTGATTCAGCTCATTTCAGCCTTAGCCACTCTTAGAAGATAATATGGGCAGTGTTGGGGCAGGGCAAGGTGGGGACAGACATTAAAGGCCAATTCTCAGTCACTGAGAATTGAAGTGACTGAGACAGGAGTAAGGTCTGCATCGAAGCACAGCAGGTGCCGTGGCCACAGTGCACCTGCAGAGGAAGGGGGAAAGAGGCCTCCCAACATGTGGGACTGAGCCCTGGCAGGAGTGGACTTGCTGTGAAGGGTGGGGGCTAAACAAGGGTGATGGGTGGGAACGGGAAACCCGCCACACCACTGTGGAACAGGTGGTGGTGAGAGGTGGCCAAGAGCAGCAGGGTCAGGCTTCAGGGTTTAGACATGGTGCTTTAGGGCCAGGGTGACCCCTGTAAGCGTGGAGCAGGAGCAGTGTGGACGATGGGGAGCTGGGTCAGGGCCACCACCTGATGCGGCCAGGCCTCCTGGAGCTGAGGCGGGTGGCAGCAGCACCTTGTCTTGGCGGCAGAAAACAGTAGATGCCTGTTCATCAGCCACACAGTAGTTTTGAGGGAGTGGCTGGAGGGGCATCATGGCGGTTTCCAGTCTGGAGATGGAAATGTGAGCCTCGAGTGTGGGTGTTGGGCAAGGAGCAGGGCCTTCAGAAAGATGAGTGGGAAGCAGGCTTTGAGGTCATGGGGCTCGTGGTCCCTGAGAGCTTCGGTGCCCTGCTAGGAACTCTAAAGGCCTGTTGGCAGCAGGCCTCTCGCAGCATGCCTTTCTCCTACGCAGTCCAGGCCACAGACCACCTTGGCGAGCACACAGTGGGTGCTTTCTGCTGTACTCAGAGTTGCGCAGCCATCATTCACTCCCAGCTCTGGTCTGTGGCGGGGCCTCGACTATCTTGTTCCCTTGAGTGTCCCCAGCTCCTGGTGGGTGTGCACTAGAGCAGGCTCCCGTCATTCACACAGCCACGCTCAGGTCCCAGCAGCAGGCATGGCCTGTCATTTTTTGCTTCATATACTTTTGTGTATGAAATACTTACCAATTTCGTAATCTGTAATCCTGTTAATTTAAGATAAACTATAGTTCCACTTTCTGGGTAGCACCGGCCATGTTTCCAATGCTCACTAGACCCATGAAGGTAGAGGTGGTCCTGTCCCATGTGGAGGGACAAGGTAGACAGTCCTGGGTCTTTGGTGCCCTCCTGCACCCCCACTGCTCGTGTGGACTGCCCACTCCCTCCCTGGGAGTGGCGAGTGGGCTGCAGCCTGCCCCTCTCTGCAGCTCTGGGCTCCACATGGTGAGGGAGGGAAGGCTGACACCCCAGCCTTGAGAGAAACCGCCCACCCTGCCCTTCTTGCAAGGCCAGGGGCCTGTGAGGAGAAGTGGGAGGAAGAAGCACCCCTAGACTTCCAGGCTGGCAGGTGGCACACTGGTGCAGTTCATTCTCTTCCTTTCCTGGTTTCTCTGTTGGTGAACGTGATTGGGCTCATGCTGTGAGCTGTTTTCTTTATTATCACAAAGAACCAGAGACCAGTGCTCATTGCAGATAACTATGACTAGCCAGAGCACGTGGGAGGGCGCCCCGTCTCTCCTGGGGACTGCTGCTGTCTCTCTTTTCAAACCCCACCCACGTCTCACCAGCACACCTGCAGTGTCCATCCTGTTGTCATCCACCAGCATTTCCGCGCATGACCAGACCCCTTTTGTGAGCTTCATCCTTCCCAGCTGCCTTGCAGATGGGATGCCCCGCCAGGCTGCCCCGTAACCCACTGTTTGGCTCCCCGTGAGCACCAGGCCTGGGCCAGGCAGGAAAGGGATGGGCTGGACATCCTCACCCATCACCATCAGGAACTGGCTTTTCCAGTGAAGGGCAGGGGGTGGAGTGGGCACCTCCAGGACCTTCCCAACATGAACCCTCGGTTCTTCCCTGCCACAGAGGACTACGGGCACTACGAAGAGCTGCCGGGGCAGCCTGGGGAGCCCCTCTTCCCCGAGCACCCTCTGGAGCCTGACAGCTTCTCTGAGGGAGGGCCCCCAGGTCGGCCGAAGCCGGGCGCCGGTGTCCCCGACTTCCTGCCCTCGGCCCAGCGGGCCCTGTACCTGAGGATCCAGCAGAAGCAGCAGGAGGAGGAGGAGAGAGCAAGGAGGCTGGCTGAGAGCAGCAAGCAGGACCGGGAGAATGAGGAAGGCAGGTGTCCCCAGGGCAGGGGCTTGGCCCCCGGGCCACTGTGCAGGGGAGAGGTGGGGACCTCTAGGTCGGGTTTCCTGCCAGGAAGGAGACTGCAGCCAGGGAGGACCCTTGCCGAGGCTAAGAAGCCAGGCCGGGCTGGTGCATGTGCCTGAGCCAGCTGGAGGTCAGGGCAGCCCCACTGTGTCTTGGGGTTCCTGAGAGACTTGATCCCCAGGAGGGGGGAGGTGGGCTGGTCCCTGGCGAGGCAGTGGCGGCAGGGCTGACCACCTGCACCTCTCCAGATCAGGCTTTAGGAGGGCTCTCGCCTGTCCCCAGAGCAGGCTTCTGGGGAGCCTGTGGGACAGCAAGTTGTTGCAGTAAACTGATAACAATTACAGTCATGGGCGCTACGTGGGCGCCAGGTTGCATCCACCTCGGGGTGAGTGGACAAGTGGTGTCTGGGACCTGAAGCCAGAGGCCACAAGCCCCCAAGACAGGAGCCTGGGAACCACAGGGACGGCAGGAGGAGGGGAAGGGAGTGGCAGCTCCTGCCCTGGGGTGCAGGTGTCCCTGCCTAGGTTTTGCTTGCGCCAGTTTCAGTGGTTGGTTAGACCGCCCTCCCCTGGGTCAGGTCAGGTGTGAAGGGCCCGAGGGCAAGTGCCAGTGCCTCGGCCCAGAGTCAGTGATGGCTGCTGTCAGGGCCTCCAGAGATAGGTGCCCAGAGCCCGGTGACCACGACGCCGAACCAGCCTGGAGGATGGGGAGGAGGCAGCAGAGCCCTGGGCCAGGAGTCCCAGCTCAGTCCCATCCCTGACCCCAATTAAATGGCACCGAGCCTCCATGTTCTCGTCTGTCCAGTGGGCATGTCAGTCGACCTCCTGGGTGGTTGGTGAGTCATCTAAATGAGACAGGTCACTTAGAACGTGGTGGACGGGAGGACAGCTGCCCAGACGTGAGCACCAACCTACAGGCCTCTCGCTCTGCACCAGGCTCCCTAGGCTCCCTGGGTCTCCTTGGCAGCCACGCACGAGGTCTCGGGAGATGCTGAGGCGTTCCTGAGAGCCAAGAGCAGAGCGCCATTCACCCAGGGGGTGTCGGGGTCCATAGGGCTGGTGGTGGATGTGGTGGTCACTCACACCTCCCTGCTCCTCTGTTCTTTCTCAGGTGACACTGGAAACTGGTACTCGAGTGATGAGGACGAGGGTGGGAGCAGTGTCACCTCCATCCTCAAGACCCTGAGGCAGCAGACATCCAGCCGACCCCAGGCTTCAGTTGGGGAACTGAGCAGCAGTGGGCTGGGGGACCCCCGCCTCCAGAAGGGACACTCCTCAGGAGGCCGGTTGGCTGACCCCCGCCTTAGCCGGGACCCCAGACTCTCTCGCCATGCTGAGGCTTCTGGTGGGTCAGGCACAGGGGACTCGGGGCCCTCTGATCCTCGTCTGGCTCGCTCCCTGCCCACCTCCAAGCCCGAAGGCAGCCTTCATTCCAGCCCAGCCGGCCCCAGTAGCTCCAAGGGGTCCGGGCCAACTGCTACCGAAGAAGAGGAAGGGGAGCGAGCCCTGCGGGAGAAGGCTGTGAACATTCCCCTGGACCCCCTCCCCGGGCACCCACTGCGGGACCCACGATCGCAGCTGCAGCAGTTCAGCCACATCAAGAAGGACGTGACCCTGAGCAAGCCCAGCTTTGCCCGCACTGTGCTTTGGAACCCTGAGGACCTGATCCCTCTGCCCATCCCCAAGCAGGACGTGGTGCCCCCTGTGCCCGCTGCCCTGCAGTCCATGCCTGCCCTGGACCCCAGGCTGCACCGTTCTACCCCTGCAGGGCCCCCCAATGCCCGGCAGCGCTCAGGCACCTCCACGGACCCCAGCACGTCTGGCTCTAACCTGCCCGACTTTGAACTCCTCTCTCGAATTCTCAAGACTGTCAATGCTACTGGCCCTTCGACAGCCCCCAGCCCGAGTGACAAGCCCAGTGACCCCAGGGTGCGGAAGGCTCCCAGCGACCCCCGGCTGCAGAAAACAGCAGATTCTGCAGCCCCCTCCCGTGCTGCCAAGCTCAGCCCCACAGAAGCTCCCTCTCCGGCCGGCAGTCCCAGTGGGGAGTCCTCCCCACCTGCCACAGCTCCGTATGACCCCCGCGTACTGGCAGCTGGCGGGTTGGGCCAGGGCAGCAGCAGCGGCCAGAGCAGTGTGCTGAGTGGCATCAGCCTCTATGACCCGAGGACTCCCAACGCGGGTGGCAAACTCGCAGAGCCGGCCACTGACGCAGGTGCCCAGCCCAAGGGCCCCGAGGGCAACGGCAAGAGTGCAGCCTCCAAGGCTAAGGAGCCCCCATTTGTCCGCAAGTCTGCCCTGGAGCAGCCGGAAATGGGGAAAGCTGGTGCAGATGGGGCTGCCGCAGCCACGGACAGATACAACAGCTACAACCGGCCCCGGCCCAAGGCCGCCTCGGCCCCCACCACCGCCACGGTCACCCCACCACCAGAGGGCACCCCACCTCAGCCCGGGGTGCACAACCTACCCGTGCCTACCCTCTTTGGGACTGTGAAGCCGGCCCCCAAGACAGGCTCGGGAAGTCCATTTGCTGGTAACAGCCCAGCCCGTGAGGGTGAGCAGGACGCAGGGTCCCTGAAAGATGTTTTTAAAGGCTTCGACCCCACTGCCTCCCCCTTCTGCCAGTAGTGTTAAGCTGGAGCCAGTGTTCCCTCCACTTCACCCTCCTTGGGGTGATATTTAAGGGCAGCAGCCGGAGTTGGGATGGGGGTGGGATCTGGGTGTTTTTTATTTTTTCTTTTTCCTTTTTTTTTCTAA